TATCTATCTATCTATCTATCTATCTATCTATCTATCTATCTATCTATTTATCTATCTATCTATCTATCTATCTATCTGTGTGTGTGTCGTGAAAAATGTGAGTTGGTGGAACACCAAACCAAAACCCAGTCAAAGCCATCAGACCCAAAAGGCCAGAAACAGCATGAAAGCTGAGAAGCAGGGGCAAGGTCTGGAGGTGGAGCCAGTTATATACTTGGTTCAGCAAGCAACTCCAAGGGTATGCGATCTCAGCCTTTATGCTGTGTCCTCACCGCACCTGCAACCCACTTGCTGGCAAAGGCTCAGGCGGGGCGTGTATGCGCATCGCCTAAAGGGTAGCAACGCACTCATAAACATGCCTGGATGTGTGTTCTACGGCTCTACTGCTTGATGCCTTACATTGAAACTATACAACAAAGCTAGTGTCCGCATGCTCCGCACTAGTTGGTCGGTTTTCATACCGGCTGTCTGATGCTCTTGTGCTGGGTGCCCCGTAGCCGTAGCCTGCGGAAGCCGAGCCATCATGTTCTGGTGCTCTGACAATCTTTGCCTCCCATGCAGCCAGCTGCGCACTTCTCCACCAAAAAAACGGTAGGCGCTTATGCTGGAAGGCATTTCGTCTTTCTCAAGGCGGTCTTCCGCAGCTGGAGTACATAAAAGGCATTTATGGGAATGGCCACAGGTTCAACCACGACATACATACAGCAAAAATCAATAAAGTTCAGAAACAAGGCACTCACGGAACAAGGAGACGCTCGAAGTTCACGCGCATCGCTAAAGGCAAGGAGCTCACAAGTGTATAGTGCACATTCCCAATTTCAGAGGTGAAGCTTAGCAGGCAATCGGCAAAGCAGGAGTGGGGAAGCAACGCTCGAATTTGGCATGGGCGTGTTGCGAGCACACAGCATGCGAATAGAAAAAGCAGCGAAACAAGCTAGGCAAGCTTTGGCTTACGGACTGCCAGCCGGACCACTTACTTGCATTATTGACATGCAAAGTCGGGTTGTTTGTTGCTCACGCCACCTCTAACGACCCCAATGGTTTTAGAGCTCTGGTCATTGCATGCACTTTGTTTTAGCCTTGCCAATTACAAAACACCAACAAGTTAACAACATGGTTCTCACAACATCTGTCAAACGCACATTACGCACATTGTTTTTGCAACATTGTCACTGCATTGCCATCGCCTTCACAACAATCATCGATGGTAGGGAATGGTCCCCGAGTGAGGGTCAACTTGCGCGGGCCCACGGGCCCAAGGGCCCAACACTTCACGCTGGTACATCATCATCATCATCACCATTGTCAAATTCAAAACCAAGCGGAAAGGAGGCATGAAAGAAAAGGAAAACGAACGCACCGGCAACCTGCCGTGCAGCAAACAGATTTTAATACATCATTGGCATTGAGTGTCTTGAACAAACTGGAGACAACATTTAGAAAACTGGCTCAGCGACTAACTTCATAACATACACACTACAAAATCGTTGCACAGCTCCTAATGCTGGACAAGCTGCAACCGTTCCAAAGCGCGTTGCGCAAACCGCAGCACCTGAAAACCAATAACCGGAGCTGCTCGCCAACGCCGCACCCTGATACGACAGACCAACCTGAACATTGGCATCTTCCGCGACGAAGATGCTCCAATCTGCCTCCGGAATTTGCGTGTGCCTCATATGATTCACGCGCCTGTCTCGAAACCAACCCTCAAACTCAGCTGCGCCACCTGGTACCCATTGCCTGCAAGGTGACAAGCAAAAGCTTCCGCCTCGACTGCAGAATGCACAAATCAGGTTGCCAGCACTTTCAACAGGCAAGAATCTAGGGGTTCTGGCCAACACATCAATGCCTTGACTTCACAAAGCTCAAATTTGCCCAAACCCATCTATATAAGAGGAAAAACTGTTCAACAAGCGTGTGGCCCAGAGACCAGATTTAGGAATTGAACAAAATTGCATAAGTTTTCACAAATGGGCAAGGTTGTTATTGCGCGCAAAGGATGGGACCCAAAGCAAATTTAACAACGAATCTTCTTCCCAAAGACATTGACGTCCTACTGTATAACACTGATATCAACCAGGTATTCATCACGCTGGGCCCCGACCGAAATAACAGGCCAAGCAGGTAGAGACGAGCGCCCTCTTCTCCATCCCAACACTATACTCTTAGCTTCTTTCGTGGATAAACAGTATAACGGATCTGTCAGTTGCTCTAGATGGATGGTGAATGGTCACAGTGAAAGTTCACAAGCATAGTTGACCCTCCTTCCCCAATGCTCGCACACACAGACGCGCAAACTCCTTTAAAACTACCTTGGCACTTGGCACGGCAAAATCAGAAGAGACGCGCAATTCCTAGGCAAGTTGGTAGACTGAAAATTTTTGAACAACTACAATTTGCGGGCCTATTCTTTGAGCTAAACCCTTGAGCAGCACGGGGGGGCCATTCAGACCTGGATGCCATTTGATTGTCAACCCACCCACCCCTTAGCCGCAGCCTGTTTCTAGCTGCCTTCCTTTGCACTCCCTGGATTCATGGGCGGTTTCGGGTTTGCCAGGTTTGTTTGTATCCACCACGTTCATTGCAAAAGGCTGAAGCCAACAAAAACGCGTGCCGCATGTGTTGCAATGATATAACTAACTCCGGGACGCATACCGGCCATGTGGCTATGAGTGTTGTTACTATCGACCACTAGGCAATAGGCTGTTTGGGCCTTTAAAGTCGGCAGGCATGCATAAGCACGTTTACTCAGGTTCCTTGTTTCGCCTATCTTTTAGTAACTTAATACAAACGCACACGGTGGACCGCTGTAGTGCAACATGTCCACGGCAGAGGATCGAATCTCCACGCAAACGTTAAACACGGCATGTTCTTTTACAAACCATGCAAGAAAGGAGGTGCAGCCATTGGGGACACAACCGCGAATATGGCTGTAGCGGCCCAAGCCCCTTTGGAGATCCAAGTGGGTTTCGTTCCAACCTTTGCCTCAGGCCCTTCGCTGCACGCGTTGGACTCTACCAGGCCCCCCTGGCGCCACGACTCCCGGCTTAGTTTTTGACTCTTCTCTTTCCTTCCTTCCTTCCTTCCTTCCTTTCTTCCTCGCTTTGTTTCTTTTTCGTCCTTCCTTGCTTCCTTCCTTCCTTGCTTTGTTACTTTACCATCCTTCCTTGCTTCCTTCCGTCCTTCCTTTCTTCCTTAAGTCCTTCGTTCCTTTGTTCCTTCCTTCCTTCCTTTCTTCCATCCTAAATTTCTTCCTGATTCCTTACTTCCTGATTTTTCTCCATCCTTCCTTCCTTCCCTTCTTCCTTTCTTCTTTTCTTCCTTTCTTCCTTCCTTGCTTCCTTCCATTCTTCCTTTCCTTTCTTACTTTCTTTCTTCCTTGCTTTGTTTCTTTCCGTCCTTCGTTCCCTTTTGCCTTGCTGCGGTTCTTTTCGTCTTTCCTCCCTTCCTTTCTTCTTTCCTCCCTTTCTTCCTTCCTTTCTTTCTTCCTTGCTTTGTTTCTTTCCGTCCGTCCGTCCGTCCGTCCTTCCTTCCTTCCGTCCTTCCGTCCTTCGGTCCTTCCATCCTTCCGCCCTTCTTCCTTTTCTTCACTTCCTTCCTTCTTTTCCTTCGCTTCGCTTCGCTTCACTTCCTTCCTTGCCTTGCCTTGCCTTCCCTTCCCTGCCCTGCCCTTCCCTTGCCTTGCCCTGGCTTTCCGTTCCCATTTCCTTGTCTTTCCTTCCTGAAGTAGACGACGAAAGAAAGGAAGCTGGAGAAACAACAGCAGCAGCAGCAAGAGCAAGAGCAGCAAGAGCTTGAGTGCACTTGCTGCAGAAGCGCGCAAAAAGCTTGGAATAGAATTGATCCAAGGGGGCAGGTGCCCAACCGTTGCCCGCCCCAATGAAGAACCCCTGCGTAGGGCCTCCGACTTCAGCCAGGAGAACTCCGATATCTGAACGCAACAGCAAGAGCAAGAACAATAGCAGCAAGACCAGCAACAAGCACAACCGTAACAGCAGCGACAGAATGAACAACAACAACAACAACAACAGCAGCAGCAGCAACAGCAACAGCAACAGCAACAGCAACAACAAGAGCAAAATCAACAACACGAAGAGCAAGAGCAGCAAGACCTAGGACAAGAGCTACAACAGCAAGAGCAAGAGCAAGAGCGACAAAAGACACCAGCAGGAGCAACAGCAAACCTCATGAAGATTTGCAGAACTTCGTCCAGAGACGGCGGCCCCGCGTAATGAAGAACCTTGCTTAGAGCCCCAAACTCATTAATGGGAGGAGAACTTACCTTTGTGAACTGCAGTCTTCCTCGCGTCTTGTCTAGCCCACTGGAGCCCAGAGCACAGGACAGACAGGCGTGAAAAAATGGCTCAGCTGTTGGCAGTCTTCATCCATATCGGACAGCTTGCAAAACAACGATTGAAACGCCTGCCAGTCGGCCGCCACGCACATGCTTCATCTAAACGGTCAACGCGCCCCTACCTCCTGTATAAGCTTTCTCATCGTGCTTTGTTTCTCGGCGCAAGCCTGCGATGTTCCGCGACGCAGACTGCAAAAGGCTGAGAACAATCCTGACCCAGCCTCAAGAACACGGCAATAGAATAAAGGCAACCGTCTCAGGCAAGGCGTTGCAAAAGGATATATAGCAACAATCCTTTCAAGTCAAACCCGGGTCGCGCACACTGGGGTGGGCAGCCGAAGTAGCTGAGAAAAGAGAATCTCAACGGTAATAGCTTCAAAATCATAGTGCAAGACCTGGGCGGCGGGCGCTGCAGGTCGACGCAAAGCAAGGTTGGTCATATCTACCACGTCTTGAGCGTGAAAAAGCTATAACGATTCACCGACCTTATTTGAGATTTTGCAAGGTATATTTATATGGTGGAACGAAATGAGGGGGCCTGCGCAAAAAATTCATTCCGCTCTTGCTTGCGTCCTTTGGCCCCAGCACAATTAGCGTCGAGAGTGACAAGTCAATCCAAGTCATCGAGATCTTTCACAGGGACACGGTCCTCATCAACCTCAACTTACCTAGCCACAATCTTGCCTTGCCCGGCTTTGCCGATGCAGCAGCCACGTTGCCCCGAACCTTGGGCCGCCAATCCCGATACCGTTCCGGCGTCGGAAACTTGGGGGCCAGATCTTCTCAGCAGCTTTTTCGGCCTTCTATTTCAATCTTCCCTGTTCATTTCTGAAAGATGCCTCCCAACCTTCCGCGCAAAAGACGAATCCTCAGAAGATGAGCTTGAAGACGAAGATGACGGCGATGACAGAGAAGGAGATCCCTTCTCTTCTTCTTGTGAGGAGATCCTCCTTCCTTCGTCCTTGTCATCCTTTTGTCCTGGAGGACCAGGTGGATCCAATGTGGTCGGCTTGGGAAACGGCGGCGCATGTGGCTGTTCGCTCAGCCCTCCCTGCGTCTTGCTTCTGCAATAGCCATGACTTCAGGCAACCATGGACGGCGCGCTGATCAAAGTTGTTGATGACTTGACTGTCTACTGGCCACGCGTGCGTCATTTCGTGAAGGCTGGGCTCATAGCAGACAAGGCGAAAGATGCACCCCGTTGTCCTGAAAGTACAAACACGAAGTAACGCCAGGTTCCCCCATGTGTCCGCCAGTGTGGAATGAGATCTCCTGGACTTCCGTCGGCTCATGAGACGCTTCACCCTCATGTTTATCGCACCTCGAACCATTTCGAGTTGGCGCAAAAGGCAGCTCCACCACGCCATGTCAAAGTTGCGCGAGACGTCTATTTTTTTCGTGCCCTGGGCGCGGACGGCTGCCGGTCCCTCCCATTGGCGACGCCAGTTGCATCGTGTCTGCAGCCACTTCCACATTTTTGTGTTTGATCGCCTGGTCATTGCCCGCTCCATTGAAGAAATGGTCGTTGAAAATGGTCATAGCCAGGGACAAAACTTGTTCAATCCATTGAGCTCTGCACACATCCGCCCTGGTTGAAGGAAGCGGTCGTATGAGACGAGCCTGCTAGGGTGCCTGGGAGGGCGCTGGAGAATGTACCCCAGGCAGCTTAAGTTGATGTATCTTCAAGTCATCGCTAAGTAGCGTTTCGTTTGGTCACTTTCGGACATCTACATTGGTAGTCCTGTCAATCCCTATCTGCATGGCTCCCCATGTAGTAGGAATGTTGGCTATGGAGCGCAACATTGATGATGGAAGGCATCAATATATTTGCGCTGGGCGTCTGTCAACCAGTGTGTGCCTAAGTTGTAAAAAGGTTTGGAAACTACACAGGCTCGATATATGCGATCCTTTGTGGCGCAGGAGAGCCTGCCGTGCTTCCATACCCGAATAAGTTGTTTGGAACTCTCCGTGCTTCCGCGTCGGCGCACTTCAGGCCTTGGTTTACCGGTTTGCTCAATCAGCCCCCGTAAATAAACAACGGATAAAACTTGCGGCGCACGAGCCTAATTTTCAAAACAGCCTTGCTTGTTGCGCGAATCAGATTTCGACAATCGTTCTGCACTGTTACAACACATCCTACAGCGGTACAGAAATGCGATGCTCATGTTGGAATCTTTGTGTCCTCACGTGGTTGTCGGCAGCGAGGTTCGTCAATATGCGCGAAACTATGCCACCTTGCTGCGCGAAGCTAGAATGGGTGCGGAGGACGCTCGACTCCGTTGTCGCCTGGGGCGTTAGTTGCTTCTGCGCCAGATCCTTTTGGAAAGAAGAGCTCCGGGAAGTTTTCCTCGCAGGAGATCAAACTTTTACGTTGAATCCCGATGCTGTCTGGAAGTTGTTATCTGTGGAGCGGCGTGGAGCGGTATAAGCACCGATGGCCGCTGATACCGGAAGAAGAATTACTTGCCAGCAGCGTTTCGGTGCAGGACAGTTCCCGACAAAGGGTACCAGCGCCACTGCACAAGCGTCGGGTGGATGGCAACGTGGTCTGCGGCAAGTCTCCGGCATCTGCGCGTCGAGATTGCTATCATGCTTGTGCTCCAGAGCAACCCAAGCTCTGCAAGTTCTCTTCGGCCAATGATCTTTGGCTGCAGGGGGCGACCTGATCCACTGCTGTGGCAGGCGAACATGACCCACGAAATGTGCCTTGCATGCTCTAGCCAGAACTGTGGGCAATGCTTCGTCGCGACCAAATAGGTTGCCAGCATCCCCATATCTCCACAGCTTCGGCTTGGCCATCGTCCAAGTTTTCCCGTCAAACAAACTGAGCGGCTTCTTCCCACGCGCTACCAGCAAATGCTTCGCTGCGCGTCCAGATTCTGCATCTTCCGGAACCAGCTCTTCCGCAGAACCTTCGGAGGGTAGAAGCCAACGCGAAGTGCCCATGACAGCATCTCTCAACTCCATCTCCAACTTCCGCCGATCATCGGCTGCAGACAATCTCCGACAGGTTTCCTGCGCGTCATCACACAGTTGCAAGATACGTTGACGACCAAGATCATCCACCAGCGTTGTATCTTCGCCCATCAAGGTAGCAAGCTCGACTATACCAAGCGAGCGCCGGCAGCTTCAAGTTCATCTAATTTTGATAACAACAATACTATTTTGGCGCTGACGTCAGTTTCGTCCTCATTGAAACCCTTCACTTGCGATTCGAACGCAAAACCTGTTTCATCTCCTTGCGCCCGGACGTGGTCAGCTGTGGCCTGTGCCGGCCCTTCTTGTCTCATGATGCCAGGACCATCTTCACCAATAGGAACCGTGACCACAAAATCGAGAACCGCCGGTGGAACTGCCTCTTCTGCATCTTGCAACCATTCCGTGAGCAGCTCTCGATTGATTTCAGCAACGCCGGCGGCATACACAGGATTCGTCTTCTGAAGAGCTTCAGCCTGCTCAAGAAACAACGCCTTCTTCAACCGCAGCTCCACTATCTTGCTAACGGCTGCTCGACCAGCTTCTTGCCCTTCATGTGGCAGATCTGCGCAGAAGGTGATGGCCATGGCGTCGTTGAGCTGTCGAGGAGGCAGGGATTCAATGGCATTCCTGGCATCTCCATTGTGAAACAAAACCGAAACCACTCTGTTGGAATGTATGTTGGAATTGACGGGTTTTCTCGGTGTTGAGGTGAAGATTATATTTTGCGGCTTCGTCTTGCACAAACCAAAGAAGATCTTGAATTTGAATGTGTTCCCAGTTTTCGCAAGTAAAACTGTATCGTCAGCGAACTGTACGTCAAAAACGGGGAGGTTGGGAGTGGCGAGTGGGTGACGAGCTAGGTATTTGACCTGGACATCGTGGAACAAAACTGTCTGCCACAAAATGAACCAGAGCCCTTCCCCCATCCCCTCGCTGACGGACAAGCTCGAGCGTTTGTTCCCCTATATACATGGCTTGCGAGGCCGGCGATGGTTTCTAGGGATGTGGTCAGTGATTGCTGTGACATAGATTTCGTGTAATGTTTCCCACCATTTCGCGCAATCGTCACCACCACCTACGGAATCAACCTGCGCGGCAATGTCACGGTTCATGGCCGCTAGGTTGTCGGCAGTTGCAGAATTATTTTCCACGTCGGCATTGCGCGCGTGGTGTGCGTGGCTCCGAGTTTGACGCATAAGGAAAGAACAACGGGGAAGTGGTCAGAGTCTAGGTGACCCTGCGTTGGCTGAAGATGTTAAGGCACGCGCCGCGCCATCTAGCGGGCACGAGGCACAGGTCAAGCTGCGCAAACTGGACTGGGTCCCACATGGCAGGGGTGGGAGGAAGCTGATCGACACCGGGCGCGTGGTAAGTGACCTGTCGCCCCTGTGGACGCTTAAATCAGACCTACAACAAGACTGTTGGCCGCAAAAGTCCATCAGCAACGCGTGGTTATCTTGGTCATCTCCAACAAAGTTAACACCGCGTCCATGCACGAAAAGCCCCAACACAGCGTCTTCGCCCAGCAATTTCCTTGCAGCCGGGCATAGAAATCCCGCACAAGCACGTACGGACCTTTGTTGCGTAGCTTGTCCACAAGTTGTTGATGTTGTTGGAGGTCGTCGTAGAAATTACGTCTTTCGTCAAGTGGTTTACCATTTTGCGGAGCGTAGCAGTTAGTGAGGGTGAGCGGGCCTGCTGCGGTAAGCAGCGTCAGGCTAGCAAGTTGGCTGCTGATGATTTCGGTTTCAACCTGTAGTTATGCGTTTCTGGCTTCGGGGGAAAGGACAAACCCCCACAAATTTTCGCTGCTTGGGCGCAATGGTACTGATGGTCATGAATGTGAATTGGCCTACCACATATTGAGTGGCTTGCGGCCTGTTTGGATCGTGTCTCTTGGAGGCACAAGACAGCTACCCGGCAGGTGTGCGTGAAATGGGTCACCTGGTGGTGCATGGTGGGTTTGAGGATGCAACGGACGTTGTATGCAACCCCGTGCAGCTTTTGGGCATAGGGTATCTACATCTAAGGCTCGCGTCATGGGCATACAAAAGAGGTTAGTAGGGACCGGGCGCCGCCTCTCGTTGAGCCTTGAGAAAAGGCTAGAAAAGGCTGGCCCTCCCCGTCCTTGGTGTCCGTCATCCCTGAAGACAACTGGAACCTGGCTTGGTCTTTGGGCGGTTCCTTTGCAGCAAGAAGTACTTCTTCTGGATCTGAGTGTAATATCAGGGCGCCCGTCTCCAATATACAGAATCATTTTCTACGACGCGGCGCTGCCAACTCCTTTGGCTCCAGGGCGACGTCGCACCGCGATGCCTAAGGATTTTGGCTATATGGTGGCTTTGACGTTAACGACCACTAGTTCCACGGACTGGTTTCTTCACGCGGCTTCGGAAGAAGTTCCTCTTGCGTGCCTCACAGAGTTTCTGACGGCTTTTGTTCCGGCTGGCTCTCTTACTATCTTCTGGCCTCTTTTCTCTCGACCCTAGCCGCCATTCAAGGATAGGTTCCCAAAATGCAAGCAAGCCGCCAACCAATATTCATCGAGTTGAACCGGCTCTGAATCTGCACATGGCTCATCCCTGCAAGATTTTCTTCATGCAGCACCCTCCTTTGCGCAATCAAGCCACGGATGTTTGCTCATCAAAGCGCAAACGCCAACGATTTCTATTCGTCCCTTCGTGATCTCTCACCCAGCGCAACGCCAGAGAGAGGGACCCGGCGCATATAGTCGCGCGACGTGTTGTTTCTTCCACGCTGTACTTGAGGATTTGGAAAAGACTGTATTTCAGGAGTGTCATCTCTTCGGTGTTGAGGTCGATGTCAGGATTCGTGGCTGAATTCCTTCTGTCACCTTCTTGGAGGCAATGGCTTCTTGTTGGAATGGCTCAAGACCGACCTTTTGGTAGGGAGCGAAGTTCGGCCAGTAGAGCAACTCACTCCGGCAGTAGGGGTTGCTGACCAGGTTGTAGGCCTGAAAACACTGGTTGGAAGGATACGCAAATTAAGTGAAACACGCAGAAGCAGAAGGTGACAAGCGCGAACCCCTCAATCGAAGATATGGCTTCGGCAAGCAGCTCGGGGGCTGAGAAGAGGCTCTGAGCTTCTAGGTGCACCCACACCGAAAGGCGCCAAAAGTGTTTGGCTCTGCGTTCCCCAATTCTTTAAACGCAGAGTGTTTGGGCTTACGGATGGCCACATCACAAACAACCCGACCCTCTGGCCAATCTCATCGGTTCAGCGAATCAACGCACAGCCGGCTCGATACATCCGATTCACCTACGAGGCAGCTCTGATAAGGAAACTTCGGGTAGTTCACCCTTCATTTTCACGATTCCTTGCCGCGTCCTCTCCGATCTTTGGCTTGGAATTTCGAGCGCAAACCGCCGGATGGACGGTGTGGCACGCTAACTTGTAAGGAATGTTGAGCAACTTTAATATTAAATATTTGCTCTCAAGGCTGGGGGAACGACTGGAATCCTTAAGATCTGTTTGCTGCATTCTTCAATATCTTGCGCGAACCTCAGACAGGACTGTCGCTACCAAATCCACAAAAGTGTTAGAAGCAGGTCTGCTGCATCTCCACCACAAGGAGCAAGTAGTCTTCCAGCACCTGTAGCAACAATATGACAGGATCATGCCATCTGGTCGCACAAGAATGCTGAGACTTAGACCCATCTGTCAGCCAGCCTGCCGAGCTTGCTGCCAAGTGAGGACTGGGCCCTTTATCTTTATCAAAGTATACGGACCGCAAGTTAGTCAAGTTAGTTCAACATGCCAGAGCAGCGCCATTCCACTACTAGACTCCGAAGTGAGCAAGGACACGGACATGAGGGGAACCTGCATCGCGTTACACCGTGCAGCCGAGGCTTGAATTCTGATAAGATCAACAGGCCCAACTCAAGCATACTCGATCCAAGCCTGAAACCTTGCGCAACTCTCTTGAAAGTCTTCCGCGGCTATGCCAAGCGGAATCTCCGGCCTGAAGATCAAGCTGCCAATCAGAAAAGTGTCACGCCCCAAGGCTGAATCATGCCAGCAGCACATTCCGTTAATTCCTAGAGCTGATGGCTGAAAACCAGGTACGTGAAGAACCACCTGCAATCGGGACCAGCACTGGTCGACAGGTGCTTCAGGTTCAGAAGTCAGACTCCAAATTTCCTAGTACCAGGGTCGGAAAAGTATAAGCGGTATAAACAATCGCTTCTTGGGACACGTGGTTTGGAAGAGTGGGCGGCCCAAGGGTGGAGACCCCCATCCCAACAAGACGATCGTAACGCATAGGGGGGCGAGTCTTCCTTGGGAAACTTGAGTCTTGAATCAAGCTTGGAATTAACATAGACTTATTGAGGTTGAAAGCGAATCTTGAATCCGAAACTGTAAAGTTTAACTTTAAATGTTGGTCAAACAACTCCTGGGTACAAGTGGGCAGCTCACTGAGCACTACGATGTCATGAACAATACTATTGAAAATGTGTATATTTTCGCGCGCTAAAAAAGTAGTATGAAAGACAACGATTAAAAAGCATACAGTGCGCATTTGTGCTCACATCCCGCGCATACACATATTTGCACGCTGGTACTTTCATAGAACCCCACTACAAAAATCACGTCCAGAAACACACTTGACAAAGCAATCAATTCTGCGCAAGTTTTTCTGGGTCGCAAACGTTATCCGTCACTTCCACCGCCCTCTCTCAAGCCTGTGCGCCTTCCAACCTCTGTCCGCCTGCCTGAAACCATCACTTCAACAGTCTTCTCGGCTCGCCCGTCGCCACGCTCTTAACCAGTTTAGTTCTGCGCGGACACTGCTTTCCAAAGCCCGCCCGTCATTTTCTGACGCCAATATAAAGCGTCAACTTCCACTGCCCCCCAGGCCTCTTCGCCATCCAAGTTATCCCTCCCCATGTTAGATTCAACGCGCAGCGCAATACCTAACGCCTGCAAAAAGTCGACTTCCAACATCTCTCTCCCGCAGCATTGAACCCTTCCTGGGAATTTTCACTTTCACATCGACGGCCACTTCAGCCCGCGCCCCGCTACGCCCCACCCCTGCACCCTTAATCCTGAGTGGTCAGGCCATATCGCATCAAATCATAAGCAAACAGAAACTATATATATATAAGCATCTTGACATCAAATATTCCAGTTGCAGGCAAACAGTATTTAGACCCCCCCTTATACACCTATGTAGCTTTACGCACTTTTCCTCGATACGCAAAAGGGCTGCAGTAGGTATTCATGACGCTAATGATGTCACACTTCTGCACACTGGTTCCTATGGAAAATGGTTCGCTCTCCTTCTTTGGATTGCGAGCCGCTAAAATGTTTTTTGTCTTTCTCTCTTTCTGCAGGTTTGTTCATTTCTTCCAGGAACTGGGTTCCTAAAGCGTACTTCTGTTGGGTCGACATCTGGGTTGTCCCTTCTGTATTCTGCTATTTCAAGTAGCTGTTCATACTTTTCTCGTTCTCGCTCACATCTACCTGCAGAACCTTGATCCCCCAGTCCTAGTCCTAGTAGGTTCCATTCTTGTACTTTCATGTCCTCAGTTTTTGCATTGCGTCTACCACACATCTGTACTGCCTGCATCCTTATATATAGATCTGACTGATACCTCTCTGTTTCCTTTTGTGAATGTAATGTTCAAGACTCCTTCTGATGGATTTGCCCCTTCATTGGCTGCCTCCAACATCACCCTGTGTCCTTCATACCATCCTTCTGTAGTTTGCGTAGCTTCAAAGCTCCTTCTGGCTCAGAAGTTTCCTGCGTTGATCTCACTCAGGATGCTGTAGCTCGGGATAGCTTGTGTAGTTGGCGTTTCTCTTTCTACAAAACCTCCACTCAAAATCAACCCACGCTGAATTCTTGGTGTAGTTTTGAAGTGTGTCTAACTTGTCTTCAAGTTCTTCTTCTCTCCAAATGCCAACTCTCACTTCAACATCACCAATTCAATTGTCAATTCTCTTGGCTATCGTCTCAAGGAAGCCTGACTTAAAGCGAGTTGAATGAACTACTACATCTTCATGTAGCATCTCAAGGTGTTTGTAGATCTTGAAGGGCGCAACGACCACTGCAAAACCAAAAATGTTGAACGCAAAGGTCATGACAATCCAATTGGATTTATTCACTGCGTCCAACCCACATTGGATGTTGTCTCCTTTCACGAATGCTTCTGTAATCATTGGCTGCAAGCCCTCCAATGCTACCATTCTCACAAGCACCTTGGCAATCTTGTTGACCTTCCTGCAAAAATCTTCTTCTCTTCACACACCCTTCTCTCATGCTCTACTCATTCTGTGTCTGAGAGTCATTCTTTGAGAGGGTTGTTTAAGTTTAAGGCAGGACCAGCCAAAAACTAGCTGGAATGTGTAGGAATCCTTTGAAAACAACATAAAACTAACCAGCGTCATTCAGCAACTCCTTTTTTCAACTCTCACCCCCTGGAGTTTGAAAAGTCCCAAAGCCATCTTGAACACATGGCTCTGGCTTCAGCTGAGCTTAAGCTGTGCCTTGTCCCTGCTGAAACCATGCTTCTTAAATACATTAAATCATTCAGTGGCATTTGGTTGAGATGGTTGATCTCTTCCCTTGCCAACACCTTGCCAAAAGTACTGTAGTCAAACTGAGCATAAAAGGTGTTCTGCTCAGCTAGTCTGCCATAAGGAACTGTGTGCTTCTGCTTTGGGGGAAGCTTGGCTTGCCAAGCAGTGACATCCTGGCCATTCTTGTCTTTGACCTTGGAGAATCCAATGGAACAGCCATCTGGTGGGGCCCACTGCTTTGCTTTAAATGGTGCCTCAATGTTTGGACCTCTATGTCTTGTCCTGGGAGCTGGTGCCACAGCAGGAGCAGGTCAGATTGGCTTGCTTCTGGCAATGAAGGTGCAGATTCAAGAAAGTCTGCTGTTTGGTGTGGGTGGGCTGCTGCAGGGGCTTCAGGCTGAACAACGTCGTCATCATCATAGCCCAAAGTATCTGATTCTTCCACCATTGGTGCAGCTGCTGTATCCTCTGATGATGGTGGTGGTGCCACTTCCTCTGATGGTGGTGGTGCCACTGGAGGATCTGGTGATGCTGGGTTGAATGCTTCTGGGGCAGCTGCTGCTGCTCCTGGTGCAACTGCTGGAGCCTGTCCTGCTGGTAATGCACCTGCCTCTGCTGGAGATGTTTGGCTAAAGGCTTCAGAAGCTGCCTTTGGTGCAATTGCTGGGGCCTCTGGCTGTGCTGGTGGTGCTGCTTTGCTGGATGATGATGATGCTTTCTCAGCAAACCTCCTAGCAAAAGAAGCTGGCCTTGGCTTGTTTGGCTTTCCCTTTGGCCTGCCCTTGGGCTTTGGCAAGGGCATGTTGTGCTTCATGGCAGCAGCCCTTTGCCTTTTCAATTTGTTTTTTCTGGCCTTTTCAAAGTCTTGTAAGTCACTTGTGTTGTAGTTGTCATCCTTGTGACACTCCAAGATCTCCTCCATCTCACTGTCAAGCTCTTGTTCAAGCTTGTTGGCCTGACCCTCTTGCTGTTCCTGATAAGCGTGGGTGGCCTGTTGAGTCTTGTCCTGGTCACTCCCCAAGACTACAGTGAACAAAAAAGTGACCAGTTGCTTTGCAGAAAGGTTGGCTGGAACTTGGGCACCCAAGCTCCAAAGCAATTTCCTGATGTGCCCAGCTGTGAGGTAGACACCATTGAGGCACAAGGCCTCAAGCAAGGAGCATGCTTGGCCTGATTGTTTGAATGCCAAAGGCCCACTGTTGGAAAGCAGTACCAACTCACATGGGGCATTGATCCACTCATGCAAGTCCCAAATGGTGTGCCACTGGATGGCAGTGCAGGCCAGCTGGCACAAGAAGCACCTGGGCTGGGCTGGGCTGGCAAACTCAAAAACCACCTGGTGACAAATATTTTTTTTAATAGAAACTCACATAAACATTCACACTTAGGGAGTAATGAATAACAATAGTTAAAACACCAAATTGGTTGGTAAAGAACCTGCACCCTTCAGGATCAATGCGAACATCCAGTGTCCAGCCCAAAAAGCAAAACTCTGAATTGGCAACCACCCACATCAATTGGCCACTGGTTGAATGAGCCATCACACTTCCAGGCTGGCCACAAAGCAAGGACAGCCAGGCACTGTCAAACTCTTCATTACTCATCCCTTCAAACTGGGTGAAAAGGAAGTGGGTAGAGGCTACCCCCTGATACATGCTGGCAGGGGTTGGGCTGGGCCAACTATGTGAGCCCCTGTTGGGCAGCATCATCACATGGAAATCTTTTTCCAGGTACTATCTTGTGTTTGAAAGCACCAAGCTTGTCCCTGGTCCAAATGCCAGAGGATAATTTCTCATGTGTTGGGACAGGTATGGCCTGGACCTTTCTTTGCTTGAGTGCTGGTGAATGGATCACTGCATCCATTCTACTGGTAACTGCCCTTTGGAAATGCCTGCTAGAGCGCAGAATGTCCTTGGCAGTCTGATGAGTGCACTCAATGACTCTAGAGTCTCGCAAGTGCTGTGTGAATAAGAGCATCAAATCATGGCCTTCTGAACCAGGAGCAGAGCCACCCCTCTCCAATGCCATGAATACCTGCGGTTGGAAAACCATGAGCATTCAATGAAGGTGTTTAAACTATAGCAGCCAGGATGAACACAAAACAAAATCAACCATAGAAAAATTAAATAACACCTTCTTAATGGCCACACTGAGCCACCACTCTGTTGAATGCACTCAGCCAGTGGCCTGCCATTGGCCCAGTGCTGCACAGGGTACACCACCTGCTGCTGCCAACTCTACCTTGAGCAAGGTGCGCCAATCTGCCATACACTGATCATTGGCCTTCTTTCTCTCAAGAGCATTTTAACGACCATTGCAGCATACTTGGCTGGTGGTGAGCAGTACTCAGTGACCAAGGACTTTGCCCTGTTTGAGATGAGATGGGTAAAGTAGTCCAGGAGCCAAAGCTTCACATTGGCCTCTTCAACCACATGAGTCTCCCTGAAAAGGAACTGTATATTCTCATGGTCAAAGAAGACATCCTTGGCACAGTCCACCTTGGCTGCTGTGAAAAACATAATGCATTGAACTATAACTCATGCTGGCTTACCTGT